TAAATAAGGTCTGTACGACAAGACTGTGCACTTAAGTTGGATCCAATATAAGCATATAGTGCAGGAGGTGACGTAAATAACAGGCATGTACTTCATATCTCTAGCTAAATCACAATCACCCTAGGTGCAGTTTTATGAGCTCAACATTATTCAATTACATATCACATCATCGATGATTCACATAACCAAACATAACTTACCTGAACTTACCTATGCCTCCACAGCACCACATTTATATATATAAGGTATCACACACCAATTCATACACGAAACATAATTGTATATGCATGGCATTTATGGCATATTATCATTTAAACATATTTTTCTGAGAAAATATCAAGTATATAAATATATACTGAAAACCAAAAGCCCATTCACTGATATGTCGAAGGGTCGTAGCCCCCTAGTAGCCCGTGGATACGCTCATCCTCGGGATAAGCCTCACCTATATGCGAATTAACTATAAAAACGTTATTTTAAAGCACATAATTAAAACTAGCTAATAACTTCTCATATAAAGCTCAATTTTGGTATTTGAATATACCAACGCGACCTACACAACCTCATGAACATCGTGATATTTTTAAAATAAATTTATGTGGCTCACGCGCCCTCACGCGCCGGGGAGGGCACGGCCCCACGCACATCATCTTCAACCTCCAAACACCGGAACATTGTCGCCGGCGCCGGATTCTGGGTAGACCTGCAACTGCCTTTTTCTCGCTCATTTTTGCACCATTTTTTACACCATTTTCATCAGAATGCCATAAATCACAAGAAGAAGAAGGTTATACCTCTTGGGAGCTTCAAATCCCTCAAAAACTCATCGAGAAAATTCTACCAAAACCGGTCATCTTCGAACCTCGTGATCCCGACGTCAAAACCGAGCCAACAAGGCACTCCTAGCTTCGTGAGAACCTCCTAGAGCTCGCTGTGAGCTTGGATTGTCCTAAAACATAACCATTCAAAAGTTCATGAATAGTACTCAACTCGGAGCTTGAGTTTTTAACGTGATATCGAACGAGTTCTTACCTGAAATGGGTACCTTTGAACTCGTATAGTCCTCACGAACACAATGGTACAATTTTCTTCCTCAATCAGTGAAGATTTGGCTTGGTTCAAGGTTGTCCGTACGGAGGAGAGGGAAGAGAAAGTGAGTCCGAGAGAGAGAAGAGAGAGTACGGGAGAGTGAGAGAGAGAAATGATGTGTGGTCCAGATTTTTGGGTCACCAATCAAAACAAACGATTTCCTTACTTCCAATTGGGTCCAAAGACTTAGGAAATTAATGAATGGGTCCAAAATCCAACCTAAATCACACAACATACTTTAAAGTCCAAGGGTAAAATTGTCATTTCACGTCATCGAGAATAATCTTCCTGGACGGGCTGTGACACCAATGCCTCCTCCTCCCTTCGCAAAACCATGCCCAGTCGGAGTCTTTCGCATCCGCGACACGTGTCCCACAAACTTGCCGGAGTTTGCTCCGAGGAGGTGACCAAAAACTGGGCAAGGTTTCAGAGAAATTGCAGGGGGTTAAACCTCTGGTTTCGAACCGGAAAAACATCACAAATCTTGTCCCAAGCAACATTAAGACATAATGAAACAAGATTTGCATAAAGAAGAAAAGGATTTTTTTTTAAGAAACATGGTAGACCTTACTTCTGCTTTTTATGCTTTTCTATTGTCATTGACAACAATTTTAAAAATACATTTTTTTTTGTTTTACCAAACATATTTGAAGTTCTCGATTTTTAATAAGCTTTTTTTTTAAAGCACCAAAATTCAAACCAGCCCTCAGAGCATTTCTAATCGAGATGTTAACAGATAAATGTTAAATTTTAATTTGATAGCTTACACGATATTGTCAGATTTTCTCTTCTTCCAACCTATTTTTTTTGTTATAAATAATATTTGTATGACCTTTTAAAAAAAAAAATTAATATCTTCTTTGAAAATATACTTAATTTTAGTCGTGCCGGCGCCGGCTTAAGTGTAGTGCGCCTCATCCTCAGCGATCAAAGTAAATCTCTCTTTCTCCCCTTTTAATAAATTTAATATAATTATCCTACCATTTTATTATAAAAGAAAATCAAAATATAAAAGAATATTGTGGAAGAAGAGAGAATTTTATATAAAGTTGGTTAACCCATGTTACTTGTCCTTTTTGGGACCATTTCCAGGAAACTTCAATGCCTTTACCCCATCACCTCACGAGGAAAGAATTTTTTTGGCTGGATTCTTGTGTTAGTAAGCAGGAGTTGGAGTAGGACAAGGGCCAAAACACTAAAAAAACTTTTTTAGGTGCCAAAACATTATTAAAAAAAACTTTTTATTTTAACTAAAATATTCTTTCAGATTGTCATAACTTCTCATTTTGATCTTTGGAATTTAACATCGATAGAAGTAGTCTATGAGATTGTATACTGATCTGAAAATTAACTTAACACACAAATTTAACCCTCTTTTGACAACTGTAGTATAAGTATAAGTAGGGATCGTTTTGGACCGGGGATTAGGAGGGCTTGCTAATAACCTCTAAACTGACTCAAAAACATAAAACTAAACTTAAAAATATTTTACAAGACTCACAAGACTCAAAGCAAACTTAAAATACTCAAAATAGCTTAAAACAACTAAATAAACTTAAACTAGACACTAGGAATGACTTTGGACGAAAATTAACTTTTACTTGAATCAAAACATTTAAAAACACAAATTAAAACAGATTCTAACTAATTAGACACACTAAAGTAAAGGGGGATTGAATTTTGGACGAAGTTGAAACAAACAAACAAGTACGAAAAACTAGATAGATTGTAAAACAAATTTGAGAAATAAGATGATGGATAAGATAGCTAGAGGCTTTTTTCTCCACACATGACATGTATGCAAATACTTAATTTCCAGTTACTACTTCATTGAATTATGAACGACAATGCTCCAAATTAACCGTAACATCACTAGTTAACTCTCAGATTTTCCTTGTTTTATTAGATTGGATGACATCATTCGACAACCCAAAATATTCTTCTAAAGTTCCCTACATGACATTATAATAGATATACAATCAAAAATCATTACGTTTAATGAAAATCATAAGCATTGACAAAGCACTTGCAACTATGACATCATGTCACTCATGCTAGGAATTGAACTTAACGTGATCGTTTATAAGCGACCTTCACTACATGTGAATATAAGTTGTAACGATTATGTGAAACTTCCTTATATTCTAGTAACGGATTTATGCATGCCAATTAAATGTCGACCCTTAATTAACAAATACAAATAAGTTATCAATCAAATAGTTAAGCCAATTGCATTCACGATTCAAGAGTTCATAACTGGAATTTATCAAATTATATTGCACACATAATCATGGCTTTGAAATCACCCCTAGCCAAAAAGGGGTTTAGCCACTCATATTTACAACAAAACGAAAGGAAATGAACTTAAACATTAGAAACAAAAGAAAGAAAACACCTAAACGCTCCAACGATCCAAGTTGAACAGGAAGCACGTCGAAGCACTTTCCTTCCCTTCCTTTGCTACGGCACAAGGTGTTGGTGAGTGTTTGAAGGTTTGTTTGTATGGAAGAATGGATGTGAAGATGAATGGATGTGTTTGGATGAAGGTTGTGTTGAAATGGGAGTGAATGATCTAACCAAGTATGAACCCAATTTATGTTACACACACTTCCTTTTATAGAGGAAGTGCAAGGCAAAGCATGGGTAAAATGGAGTGGTGTTGAAATGATTCAAAGGTGAAAGTGAATTAATGATGCAAAGCATGGGTAAAATGAAGTGGTGTTGAAATGATTCAAAGGTGAAAGTGAATTGATGATTGATGCAAGAATTAAACATGGATGGAATGCATGGCAAAGGTTTGTTATGGTACAAGGAACCCTTAATTTGTGTCTTAAAATGCATGTGAAACCTTCAATGTTGCTGGAACTTAGGGACATTTAGGATTTAGGAAAGATCAAACCAAAATAGGAAACCTTGGCTTAACTTTCCTACTTCAAGTAGGAATCCTCATCTTTAGGTCTTCAATTTCGTCCATTCCTTTAGTTCCAAGCATGTGATATTTATTCCAAGCCCAAAATTGCTCCAAAAGGCTCCAAAATGCACATTTTTGCATACTTTGTCCTTAGAACCTGAAATTGCACAAAAATGACTTTAAACACTAAAACAACTAAGGAATAACAACATAAATGCATGAGAACAAGCTAACTCAGTCGCATAAATATACTCCTATCATATACCGTTAATCATTTTGGTCATTCCATAATAAACCTCGTTAAATTGAGCGTATTTTTGTCAAATGAATCATCTCCACTTGAACTGATGGTTTCTTCAACTTAACGGAATTTTTTTTATATAATGACTAAACTGACTGACGGTGGACAGTCTCAAAAACCATTTCTATTGATTTTAAATCTTAGATACCAATGCAGAGAGTTATACTAATCTCAAAGACCATTTTAACTAAAAAGCCTTAAAAAATTTCAAATTTTAGATTCTATAGATCAATTTGGAGATCAGTTTGAGTTCTTGTATTCCAAGCAGCCAAATTACCATTTACCAGAGGTAAAACTTTCTCATCTTCCCCGACCCCCGTTCCCTACAACCCACCCATTTCTTCTCCCTCCCGTCTTCCCTAATGGGTGTGGATTTAAGAAGTGGGGTGTGTAGAGGAGGGAAGAGGGTGCGGTGAGTTTGGGGAAGATAGGAGCATATTTATGAAAGATAGGAGCATATTTATGAAAGATAGGAGCATATTTTTGCACGTGGCACACATTTGGCAGCCACGTTAACGCTTAACAGATCAATGGATGAAAAATGTAACGGATGTATTATTTTGAAATAAAATAGTACGTGAAGCATGAAAATGAAATATTTTAAAGATGTTGTATGAGATTGTCATAAACTTCAAAGCTGAATGGCTACTATGTAATTTATGTAAGCTCATACAATTTTCAAAATAAATTAAATTATAAAGAATAAAAAAAGGGAGACCATCCCAGCCAGTGAAACCGACCGAGAGCGATCCTCTACCGCTGGATGGAACCGAGGAACTATCAGCTGTTAATCACGCTCTGATAGCAGAGTCATGATTAATCCCCCAGGCTAGGGTTCCTCTGTTCTCCTTGGAGATCAAGGATACATAAGTACAATCCTATTAAACAGATCCTGTTCAAGTAATGTCGGTTACTTACTGGCAAGTGAAGCTATATAAACCACATCACTTCCTTGCGAGTAGTCGATGTGGGTCTCTTTGGCACTATGTTTTATTCATTCACTCACTGATTTGAACCTCCTTTGTGCACAAAACTGAGAATACAGTCTCTCTAGCTTTTCTAGATTTCAAGTCCTGGTCTTAATCTTTCAAGATTTCTTCCCGTTTCCATGTTTTCCAACGTTTCGAGTTCTCGTCTCTCCACTCCAAGCTTGCTCTTCTACTTCGAACCCATCACTTGAAATCCCACTACCACCACATCGCCCCCTCTCTTTTTTCTTCTTCTTCTTTGTCAAGCTCGGTGCTGCTGCATTCGTGCCAGAACCTCCCGACCCTGAAACACGTCCAGGCTCGTATCCTGGTCTCAACTGGGATCCAGCCCTCTTCCCATTTTTCAAAGTTATTCACTCTGTACGCTCGTTTCGATGACCTCGATAGCGCCGTTTCAGTTTTCGGTTCGATTCGAGAACCAAATACCATGTTGTGGAATTTAATGATGAAGTCCCATGTCGAATGTGGTCTTGTTGATTTGGCTCTGTTGCTGTACAAGAAGATGCGTGAGTTGGGTGTTTCGCATGATTGCTTTACTTTCCCGATTGTAAACAAGGTGGTTATGTTGCTCGGGGGTGAAGTTAGGTATGCGGGAATGGTTCATTGTGTGGCCATTCAAATGGGTTTTGGAATGGATGTGTATTTTGGTAATACAATGATTGATATGTATGTGAAATGCGGAGAAATTGATCGTGCTCGTAAGTTGTTTGATGAAATGTGTCAAAGAGATTTGGTTTCGCGGACATCGATGATTTCCGGCTATATGTTTCGGAAGGGAATGTTGCCTGTGGGTTGAGTTTGTTCAATGAAATGAGGTTGGAGTTGGAACCGAATTCCGTTACTATGTTGACCATGTTGCAAGGATGTTGTGGCACTGAAAATGCAATTTGTGGAAGTCAGTTTGACGGTTATGTGATTAAGAACGATTTACTGTGATGCATCTGTGCAGAACTCAATCTTGAGAATGTATGCTAAATTAGGTACAATCAACGAAGTTGAAGACTTTTTCAGCGAACTCGATAGAAGGGATGTAGTCTCCTGGAATATCTGCATTTCCTTTTTTTCTTCGATAGGGGATGTTGCGAAAGTAAGAGAGTAGTTCAATGATATGCAGGGCAAAGTGGCGCCGGGCGTTGAGACATTAACTTTGGTTATATCAGCATTGACCAAACATGGGATTCTTTCCCAAGGTGAAAGCTTGCATTGTTTGGCGATAAAACGTGGGCTTTGTGATCACGTTTTGCAGACATCTTTGTTAGACCTCTATGCCAAGTGTGGAGAATTAGGAATCTCAGATAGGCTGTTCAGAGAAATCCCTCACAGGAACAGCATTACTTGGGGTGCTATGATGTTTGGCTTCATTCAAAATGGTTGGTTTAGTGAAGCTGTTGGACTCTTTCGCGAAATGCAAGCTTTGGGTCCGGAACCAACGGCTGAGATACTAAGAAGCCTCGTTGATGCATTTGCAAACCTAGGTGCTTTGAAGTTGGGAAAACAAATTCATGGCTACATCATAAGGAAATCATTGTATGAAGACGAGGAGAGCTATACTCATCTCGAAACCTCCATAATAAACATGTACATAAGAAGTGGTAGTCTATCTGCAGCTAGAGTGTGTTTGATAGAATGTTGGTCAAAGATATAGTGACTTGGACATCAATGATCGAGGGCTATGGGAGCCACGGACTTGGTTTTGAAGCCTTGAAACTATTTGACCTGATGATTAGAGAAGGAATAAGACCAAATAGTGCCACCTTCATAAGCTTGTTATCTGCTTGTAGCCATTCCGGTCTTGCGACTGAAGGTTGTGATGCTTTTTGTTCCTTGAAATGGAAGTTTGGTATCGAACCTGATTTAGACCATTACACTAGCATTGTTGATCTCTTGGGTCGATTTGGGAAGCTTAAAGAGGCCTTAGCTGTCATTATGAAAATGATGACTTTTCCGGATAGTAGGATTTGGGGTGCTCTTCTTTCAGGATGTAGAATTTACAGTCTCAGACAGAGATGTTGGGGAGCATGCTGCTCAGAGGCTCTTGGAACTAGAACCTGATAACGCTAGGTACCATACTCTGTTGAGTAACACACAAGCTAGTGTCGGACAGTGGGATGAAGTAGAAGTGACGAGGAGAGTTATGAGCGAGATGGATCTAAAGAAGATGCCAGGGTGGAGCTGCCAGGATGCAATAGGGATTGATTTGAATTTGCTGATCAGCTAACTTGACATGTTAATTGACGGATATAGCTGCCTACTCGAAGGGACAATGGTTTGTGATACTATCAGGACTTTGCTTCGCAGCGATAGCAGCACGGTAGCAAAATCCAAGTGGTTAGTCAGAAGTTGAGAAGATGAGTGCCAAGTTAGTTTTAAGATGGTGAGGCACAAGAAAGGGAAGGCCCTTTGGGTTTGTTTCTGGCTTTTGGAGATCGATCTCACGCCATCAAGTGGGATGCGATTCATTAAGTTTGGATGCTTAAGTAGGAAAACAAGCGGTTGCAGATTCTTGATGTGATACAGCCTTTTCTATTGGCGTTGGGTTATGCCAATCAAAGGAGAAGAGGAAAAGAGTGCGGAAATCATTACTCATTTAAATACCGTCTCCGTAGAAATTAAGACTATGAAATAGACCCCAAGTGTATTGAAGAGATGGTAATCATCATGTGTAACACATACCCATGTAAACCAAAAACTTTTACATGCGTCTCTTGTACTTGGCATAATCTGATACCGGTCGTATAGACGAAATACGGGAAACCAGAAATTAGCAACCAAACGCTAAGCTTGCCACGGAAATCTCTACTTACAAATGGTTCTATAATTTCGTCTAAGCAAGTCATCTCTATGAAGGATTCTTCGTTATCCACTTCGTTGTTCGAGCACCTAGACCTGGTAGCATCTGCAAAACTATTTAATCGTTTCATTCAGATATCAGGACAAGAGGTCGCACTTGGTGCGATAGCAAGTGCCTTCGCCCATGAGCGGTAGGTCTCGGGTTCGAGACTTGGGAGCAGCCTCTCCATAAATGGGGGTAAGGCTAGCTGACATTCACCTCTCCCAGACCCTGCGTAAAGCGGGAGCCTTGTGCACTGGGTACGACCTTTATCAGATATCAGGACAACCAAGACTGAAACAAGTATCAACTTATAATTCCAACAGAATTTAATTCAAATAACAATTTGATAACAATCACCAACTCAAAAGACCCGAAGCAGAAGATGCCCAGCCAGCACAATGCCATTCGAACATAGTGAGGAAAAAAGAGAGCTCGAATGAGATGAAAAACTAACGATAATTTATAGATTCACCTCTCAAAAATGAGTACCTATAAATTTAAGTTTCTCGAATCTGATCAGCCAAGAAAGCAACAAATTTCTGCAATATGTTCATACACAAAAGATCCTTGGATACTAAATTAAAGTAGAGAGCACTCCCAACCACTACTTTCGATCCAAAAGAACAGATGAGAAAAATTATGTAAGGCTTTATGTATTTCTCAGTCGATCAATAGCATCATTCATTTCTTTAAATAAGTAAAATAAAGATATTGTACCTGAAATAATTGAGACAGTCTTTACAGCCTTCTACTTGCCTTTGAGATAATGTAAATCCAACTTCAGTAAAATCTTCTGCAAGAACAAATAAAAAATACCAAGAGATCTAGTTCAGGATCACTTGCTAAATTTAGACGAGGTTTTCATGAAGAATTAAACTTTAATAGGAAAATGCACAGTTCGACCAATCCCAGATTGAGACTTATGTGCTACTTAGATCCATCTAATTAAATTTTCCTACAAGTAAAACTACGAAACCAATATGATTTGAGCAAACCCCATCAACAACAATACTCTACTATAGAGCAATGTAATTACAAAGTAAATAGTCTTGGGAAGGACAAATATGATGAAGAAGAAATTTGAACGCAATTAATACAAAAGAAAACAACGGACATAAAATCAATTACTCAACTCATCAAAGTCACATTCCAGCTACTTGACGTGCCATTGATTTCACGAATCAATAAGCTGAAGTGCCTATACTGTGGTTATAGATGAATCAGTTTACCAGTTTGCCATTGATTTCACGCATCAATAACTTGGAGTTATCAACAACGCATTTGCTTTCATAAACTATATAACTACACAGTTCATGCCTGGGTGCTGGCTTGAGCGATTTTAATTCAACAAGGGGATCTCTAATCTGAGACTTGCTCAAGATCTCCCTTGCTGGCTGGACATGATTCCACCAAAAATCCGAGAGAACTATTTTCAGAACATCCCAGTATTCTGCATCCCGATATACCCTGAACAGGCTGCTCCCTTTAGGAGTCCAAACATAGAAATCCATCCAATCCCTGTCAAGTATTTCCATTAAACCCTGAGCCTGTGGAACACAGTATAGAGGAATTCGTGACCAAGGGGTAGCCTTCGTCATATTTCCATAAAAAAATGGACATTTAATCTCCAATACTCCTCGTGAAGGCAATCCGTATACCAGCCTATCAATCACCCCATCCGGTGAAGCTCCCAACCAATCCTCTCCAACATTCCTATTACCATAAACTTGAAATTCAGGAAACAAAACGGAATTTCCTGTTATCAGCTTGTATCTTTCAAGTGCTTCCTCTTCTTTGATATTGCTCCAACACGTAGCCAAATTACCAGAAAATGGCTCAAGGGCTCCAATCTTCTCTAGCCAAAGCTGGAGTCGTCTGCGATGAAATAAACCAACCGCTGCAGCAAAAGTACTTGCTGTCAGTTTATTTTTTCTGAGTCCTTGCCAATTTTTGAACCAGTGCTGAAGACCACTTGAATTAAGAACAGAATAACCTTCAGAAGAAGCAAATCTCATAGAACAACGAGAATGGTTGAGAACTTGTCTGCGGTTGGCAAACATAATAGGAGCCAGAACTGAAAAGAAATAG